TGCTCAAGCAAGGCGGTAGCCCTTTGTGCCGATGTCGATGTAGCCGAGAGCGTAGGATGGTGTAGCCATGGTCGAGGTAGCCGTGCTAGGGATGTCGAGTCAGGGTGGCCGATGTCGAGGTAGTCGCCGTGGACCAGGAAGAAGAGTGGCGGCGGCCTGAGGAGGCGGCGGCGGCTAGGTTAGGAGCACGACGGCGGTGCTCGAAGTAGGCGAGGAAGAACCTGACAGCGTGAGGGAGACCGGCGCGGACGGTGGCGTTCCCGCGCAAGGAAGGTGGCGTGGCACATACCACAAGGAAGTCGACGTGCGTGGACGGCGAAGTGGACCGCGTGCTGTGGCGGTACGGCCCGAAGGGGCGACGCAACGACAACGCGCGGGTCAGGGCGATGGCGGGGAAGACCTCAGGGCGGCGGTAGGGACCGCGTGCCACGCTTGCTACAGCCCGATGGGGCGACGCAGGGGCAGCGCGAGGGTCGATGGAACCACGGGACGGCCTGGAGCGAACGGCCTCGTGGCGGCGGTGGACAGCGGGCCGCAACACTACGGCCCAAAGAGGCGACGCAGCGGCAGTGCGCGGGTCGGTGCAGCCGCTGGGAGAACCATGGGGCGGCAACATGGACCGCGTGCCACGCTCGCTACGGCCCGATGGAGCGAACGGCCTCGGGACGGCAATGGACCGCGGGCCGTGGCACTACAGCCCAAAGGGCGACGCAGCGGCAGCGCGCGGGACGATGCAGCCGCGGGGAAAACCATGGGGCGGCGATGTTGCGGTCCAAAGGGACGACGCAGCTGTGGTCCAATGGGACGACGCAGCTGTGGCCTGTTGCTCAATCGGTGTAGGGCACTGTACTTAGAGACAACCTTCACAAATTCCAAGGAGACGCGTGTATGCGGTTTATCAGACCGAAGACGCGACAAACAAAATCAAGAAGATGCGGCGGACGACGAGATATCTACGAGTTGCATCGCGCGCCGTACGTGGCATGGGCACGCAACCAAGCGAGACACACATCAGCAAGACCTCTATGCATATGCATCGTGGAATAGCATGCTTGGTGGCCTAGTGCGAGCTTCCAGGCGGGCGAGTAACCAGCCACGCACAGGGCGCTGTAGCCAGCGCACGGGACGCGGGCACATGGGAGGCAGGCGATGCGGTGCGTGCCATCGGCCCAGCGCAAAAGCGCGAGCGGCGGCAGGTGTCATCGAGGCCAGCGTTGGAGTACAACTGCGCGAAGGCGACGAACGATGTGGGCGACGCAAACCGTTCTTAGATCGGAAAACCAAAAAAGAACACCGATCAAATGACCGGCGAGAGAGAAAAATCCGATCAATTGATCGGAAAAAAAACTCCGCAGGGCAGCCAATCAACGCGATCGGCGGACGAACCCTAGGTACGGGCGGCGCGGCCCCCCGGTGGCGATCATGGAGATCGACCGCCCCGGGGGCGACGCGATCCGGAAGCGGTGGCGATGGCTAGGGTTTTGGATCGGGGTATTCTGATACCATGTTAGAAGGGATAGAGGGATTGGTGAAATTGTTGTTATTCTTTGAGCCTCATGGGCATATATGTAGAAGTACATGATCTACTTGGATCACAAGACAAGCCAGAATATTTTCTAGTCTATCCTATGTTTCCAATCTAATCACGATACTTAACACTATAGCCCAATTTAAATCGTAGCATGCTTAACTGCTTTGCTTTATTGTCACAGGTTATCTGTGACAAATTGACTGGACGTAGCCGTGGATTTGGGTTTGTAACTATGTCTACTGTCGAAGAGGTTGAGGAGGCAGTTGAGCGGCTCAATGGCTATGTGAGCACTCATTTATGCCTTTAAAAGCATTGTTTCTAACCTGCTACTGCTCTTGTGCTCTTGTTTCATCTTTTATTGTTTGTAAGCTACTTTCGTTATGTTTTTACATGTTTACTGATTGGTTCAGCTTGTTCTGTTTCTCCTTGGTTCTGCAGTTCCAACCTCTTGTTTCTTACTGAGAAATACAGTTCAGAGTTTTAGATAAAATTGTTAGTTAGTTTAGCTTTTGTTGCTTGACTTAACTGTACAATTTCTATACTAGGATGTGTAGTTGTATGCTTGAGTAATTGGCTGACCTCATCTCTAAAATCAGGTGCTTGATGGTAGAAGTTTGAAGGTGAATTCAGGGCCGCCACCACCCAAGGACCAATCCTCACCAAGAGGATTTAGAGAGCAATCAGGCGGATTCAGGCAGCAATCTTCACGTGGGCCCGGTGGTGGGGACAATAGGGTGTATGTGGGTAATCTTTCTTGGAATGTCGATGACTCAGCTCTTGCAAACTTGTTCAATCAGCAAGGGAGTGTCTTGGGGGCCAGAGTCATCTATGACAGGGAGAGTGGGAGGTCAAGGGGATTTGGTTTTGTCACATATGGTACTAGTGATGAAGTTGAGAAAGCAGTATCTAATCTTGACGGCTCTGTGAGTTTTCACTCATTTAACTGGTTGCTTACACCTGTGACCCTTCATTATTGTTCTTTCGGCGTGGTGCTAAATGACTTTCTATTTCCTGGTCCACAGGACTTGGATGGAAGACAGATCCGTGTTACAGTAGCAGAAGCGAGACAACCTAGGCGAGAATATTAAAAATCCTATTTTAGATGATGCGAAGCGGAACTATGTAATGCTGTCAGGTTTTTGCCCCCTAGTACACGTTTCGATGACGAGCGTGTACAGTTTGTTTCCTGGCAGTGCGTGGACTCCCTTCCCTCCTTCCCGGTCTCCTGTAACAGAATCTGCTAATTTCCTGTTATGCGCCCTGTTCAAAAAAAGAAGATGCCGCTAAGCCTGTGGTTAGTATCAGGTAAGAATTATAGTTTTGTTCTTCTTTGTCATTCATTCTAGTGTAATGTATGAGATATGTATGATTTGGTTTCAACCATCATATCGCTGCTAGCCTCTTTTTTTTTTTTGAAAACCCCCAACTTTATTCATTTTTTATAAGTAGTACTCCCTCCGTACCATAATATATGTCGTTTTTGCAGTTTAATTTGAGCTGCTAAAACGACATATATTACGGTACAAAGGAAGTACATCGTTTACGAGGATCATTCAATTTCATTTAAACGCTTCTCAAACCAATCAGAAGTCAAATAAATCTAGCTAATCTAGCAAGCGCATGAGCTGCTTTATTTGCTTCCTTATTACAGTGCTCAAATCTAGCTCAAATCTAGCAGTAACGAAATCACATGCATCATGAAAACAATCCTTGAATATTGCTGCCGTCGCATCCGCCGACTGCCCTCCATCATTCATAGAATCAATCACCTTCATATTGTTCGAATTTTATGATAATGCGATTGCATCCTGCCTTTGCGCCAGTGTTAGACTAAATTTGAGAACTAAACCCTCCGCCATCAACACATCCAAGCAAAAATCTATTTTCTCATTCCCTCCAGCAATAAACTTGCCTTTGTCATCTCTAAGGACCGCTCCCATCGTACCCCTAAGAAACTCGTGATCAAAAGAAGCATCAACGTTAAGTTTAATGAAACCTCTGGGAGGGTAAGACCAACCCTCCTTTTTCATAGAAGCCTTGGGAGATAATGCATTAACAAATTTTGTGGTAAGGGCAAAAATCCCCATTGAAATCTGACTTGCGTTTTGAGTTTTTTTTATTGTGTACCAACTTCCGTCTTTCCTACCATAGGTACCAAGCTGAAATAGCAATCATCTCACCCACATTGTGGTAACCAAATATTCATAAATCTGTATCTAGTAGGAGTAGTAGGTACTCAAGCATCGTCTCTCCTGCACAGTCAACCTCGCAAGCTTTTTCAATAATATCGTCCGGTCCCAATCTTTCCCAGACCTCCTTTGCTTTACTACATCGGAAAAGTATATGTTTTGTATCTTCTAAGCCCTCAGAGCAAGTTGGGCAGATGGGTGAAACCTTCATATGTCTATTAGCTAGCGTAACCCTGCACGATATTATTGAAAAAGCTTACGTCATAAGAATTTTTTTACTTTTGTTGGGCATGCTAATTTCCATATCTTGCTTCAAATAGAGTTAACTGTGGTTCGCCCCATTCCATTAGAGTGTTTTAATTTGCTTCCATACTGGTGATCCCACTCCATAGAGTAGGCTGACCTAACTGAGAATATAGCATTTTTTATATAATTTCAGACAATGAAATCTTGCATATCATACCAGGTCTTCATCCCAAGTATTGGAAACAAGGTCAATGAGATCACCTACCTTAGTTAACAGGTTACCTCCCTTAGGCGTTACAATTTCCCTAGTGGCATAGTTTGAGATCCAGGCATCTTCCCAAATATTGATGTTATGTCCACTAGATAAAACCCCGCGCGTTGCGGCGGGAACTATTAAAGTGTTCAGATGGAAAAAACTTACTTCCTCTCTCTCAGTTTACAGGGCGTGCGCGTACCCCTAGGTCCTCAATTTGACCAAGCTAATACAAGTCATATATTACAAAAATTATACCAATATAAAATTCAGATGTTCTATTTTCAAACCGTATAATTTTTGTGTTATATAGTTTATACTAGGGTGATAAAATTGACGACCTAGGTATACGCGCAGTACTTGTAAACTGAAACGAAGGGAGTATAGAAAATAGTAAAATGGTATGAGTACAGTATATGAATAACATCAGTGCAGGGGGTCATAGTCCGAAGTCAAACATGGAGATATTCCACCTGCAAATTATTTGGGAAATGAGCAATCAAATACCTATCAGAATACTTTGATTGTACCAAAAGTTCGAATAACATAATGACCGATCAGCATCAGGAGAAGGAAAGACTTACTCAATTCATATTGGGCAAGCAAAATTAAATGGTTAATATTGGATAGTGAAAACACACAAAAAAAAGTGAAACATTTTTCTCGTACACGACTCTTGAAACTAAGAACTCGGAAAATCACAGACCATGACTTCAGCTGATGAGTTGAACATGGATTTTCTCAAAATAATAATTGAATTGTTAGAATATATAATATGTTCCAAATAAGGTCAATCGCATGTTTCTCCTTTCATAACCTTGATGATGAAGATAGATACATAGAAATGAGGAGTACCAGTTTTGGAAAAGTTACATTATTGCTAAACTAAGGCCCTGTTTGGTTCATAAGTCCTAGGACTTTTTCTAGTCCCAACTTATAAGTCACAAGTCCCTAAAAAGTCTCTACTTGTTTGGTTCCTGGGACTTATAAGTCCCTATAAGACCATATTACAATTATAAGTCCTTATAAGACTCTCCTTGAGAGTCTTATTTCATAAGTCCCAAATGCCCACTTTAAGTCCCTATAAGTCCCTCCTGTTTGGTTTAGATGAGACTTATAGGGACTTTTTTAAGTCCCTAAACCAATAAGTCCCTGGAAACAAACACCCTCTAAAGATGTACTCCCTCCGTCCGGGAAAAGTTGTCCTCATGACGTTTTTGCAGAAAACCCCTCCCCAAACTCCCGACACAAACCGCACTCCTCATCGTCTCCAATCGACGCTCCGACACGGACGCATGGACGCCGGAGCTCCCCTGCTCAGATTCGCCGCGCTGCTTCCCTGCTCTCCCGCGCCGGAGCTCCCCTGCTCAGCTTCGCCGTGCTGCTCTCCCGCGCGTCCTCCTCCGTCGCTCCCTCCTGCCTCGCGCACCTCCCCTGCCCCCCTTGCCTGCCTCCCAAATCTCCCCTCTTTCACCCCCAAAATCGTTTCTTCTTCGTCCCGCTGCGTCCCCTGCTTGCGCGCGGCGACGACACGTCCTCCTCGTTGCCCCCGACGCCGGAGGAGGCACGGGGCAAGCAACAGTAGCTCGTGCTGCGCCGGCGCGACCTCGGGTGCGCGTGGGCGTACGCGCGCCGGTCGCCGCCTCAACCGTGCGCCAGTCCGCGAAGGAGGAGGAAGGGGATTTCGCCGCCAAGGCGCCCTGGGCATGCTCCTCGAGTCCCTGCTCCTCGGCCCCCTCGTCACCTCCCTACTCAAGAAGCACAACAACATGACGCAGGTCCTCTCCTCCCTTGTCAGCTTTCATTTTGTTTGAGATTATTTTGTCCAACAACTCCGTGGTTTGCTTCCGTTGCACTCAGCACGATTCTGGTCTTATTAATGTTGGGGGCGAGCAGATGCGGCAGCGCACGGTGATCCAGTTCTTTCATTTAGTCAAGTTCTTTCATTCAGTCATGTTCTTTCATTCAGTCAAATTCAGTCAAGTTCTACTAATCCCGCCGCAGGGTAAGACAGTGTGTGTCCCTTTGAAATTGTCACTTGAATTTTGTATAGTTCGGATAGATGTTCCAGTTCTTTCATTCAGTCAAGTTGTACTGAAACTTTCCGCAAAAACAAAAAAATAAAATTCTGCTGAAACTGAGAAAAGGCACAGAAACATGAATGTGCTGCCATGTGCCTGAATGTGCTGATAATTCTTTCTCAAATTAGCCTGAATGTGCTGCGCTGACCTTTGATGATAGTGTATTCTTCCAAATTATGCATGAATCTCTAGCACACCATGACACTACTATGCATGAATCTGTAGCACACCATGACACTACTATGCATGAATCTGTAGCACACATGGTCTTTTTAACACTTTTCAGTTTGCATTATCCTGGAGATAGAACATGGATCTCTGAATAATTTAACACATGGTCAGGCGTATAGGTGTAGATTGATGCCATCTTCTTGGATTGATCTTTCAGTATTGCAAGTTCTTGGTCAGGCTTATAAGTTGTCTGAACATTTGGTCAAATAAGTAAATTGAAGCAAATGCTACTTCGGTCAGACTATTCAGTTGAAACAAATGTTAGTCAACAAATGTTCAGTTTTTTGCACTCTAAATAGTCAAAATTTACAAATGTTCAGAAATCTACAGATTTTGCTCTCTAAATGTCAGTTAACAAATTCTTATTCTTAATGTCAAATGTTCTTTTTTTTTTGGAACCATGCATACTCCGTTCTGTTAGTATGTTCAGTTTGGTAGCATGATTTCCCTTTAATTATGCAGGATCAGAATATGTAGTTTCAGTGTCTAGCTAGCTTAGTGCATTTTGATCTTGGAGGTTTCTTTCGGTGTGTAGCTGCTGCTGATGCTGAGGTTATAGAATATGTAGTTTGAGTGTCTAGCTAGCTGCTGATGAGGAATGATCAGGTGGTGGTGCTTCAAAGTTGGTGCCTGGCCATTGTGGCCTAATCACAGCCATCCAAGAGGTGGAGTAGAATAGAGTAGGCTTGTAGAGACCATGAGTGTACAATATGGCAGTAGAGACCATGGCAGTAGAGACCATGACAGCAGTGACCATGACAGTACTGAACATATACTCCCATGTATTCAAATAATTCCAAATTAAGTCCAATAAATCTAGCTAATTCAAATAATTCTAATTCTAAATTAATTTAAATAAATGTAGCTAATTCATGATCCAATAATTATGTTTGTCACTGCAAGTTCATGATCCAATAATTAAGAGTAAGTCTAAGATCATTTGGTCTCTGAACATTTAGTCACAGAAATTTGATTTGACTGAACATCAACTTGTCAGATCAAATAAATTCAAATAAAATCAAATAATTCAAATTAATCCAAATAATTCAAATAAAATCAAATTACTCAAATAAGTCCAAATAAAATCA